GTATTTGTGGACGAGTTCAGTATTTACGGACGTGTTTAGTTTTTACGGACGTGTTCGGTATTTGTGGGCGTGTTCAGTATTTGTGGGTGTGTTCAGTATTTGTGGGCGTGTTTAGTATTTATGGACGTGTTCAGTATTTGTGGGCGTGTTCAGTATTTGTGGACGTGTTCAGTATTTACGAGCGTGTTCAGTATTTGTGGGCGTGTTTAGTTTTTATGGACGTGTTCAGTATTTGTGGGCGTGTTCAGTATTTGTGGACGTGTTCAGTATTTACGGGCGTGTTCAGTATTTGTGGGCGTGTTTAGTTTTTATGGACGTGTTTAGTTTTTATGGACGTGTTCAGTATTTATGGGCGTGTTCAGTATTTGTGGGCGTGTTCAGTATTTATGGGCGTGTTCAGTATTTATGGACGTGTTCAGTATTTATGGGCGTGTTCAGTATTTGTGGGCGTGTTCAGTGAAAGCTAGCTCTTATATTAATCGATTGTTGTGAAATAATGACCGTCAGCCATGGACAGCTCCAGTGTTTAGCCTCACTGGTCATTTGCTAGTTAGCGTGTGAAACCAGCCGTTGTGTTATTAGTGTGTTATAAAGCCAGTTGCTGTAATATCCATAGACAGCTTTAGTGTGGTGCCTTTGGTAGTTGTCTGTGCCTGTCACAGTTATAATCACCTAATCGCAGTGATTTGAGGTGATTGCGGTTATTTAAGTCCTAGATTTCATAAACGTGACTGAAGGAAACAGTAAACGTGTTCACTGAGTCGTTGTGGGGCTTATAATGACGTTTAGAGCGCAGCGCTGAGTAGTGCTTTATCGCTAATGCTAATGTTTTTAGCGTGCATGCTAGCAGGGCGAGTGTCGGTTATGTTTTGGCTCTGGTGAGGATCACGCAGCTCTGCTGCCCTGCTGCGCGTAGTTCTGCGTGACTGTAGATGTGGAGTGTTGGTCCGACAGTTCGGCCAGCGTTAGCCGTAACAGAGCTAGCGAGTCAGGAGGCTAATCAGCCAGTTAGGCTACATTAGGCCTGTGTTTTCACAGCTGCGAACAATAAACGAGAAACGACTAATAGGTCATCAGAATTATTTATTTGACAGCTGACCAGGAGCTGAAATATCACAGTAGTGAGGGCGCTTTGGTTCTGAGGAGGCTAGCTGTAGCAGGATTGGTGGTCACTGCTGGCCTGTTTTTAGTAAAGCTGTCACAGACAGAGGCTCTATTTAGCTTTATTGAGCTTCTGGCAGTTTTAACCGCTTCAACTCCTTGAGACCACCGGCGGTTCCAAATCGCACTTCGTCATATTCTTCATAACGTTCATATTTCATAAGCTACATTCTAAAGGTGGGGGTCGTATGAGGCTGTAACTGTCTTCTCTCCAGTCAAATAGATGGTGATGTCATTTTAAACCCTGATAATAAAAGAAGCTGATCATAAAACTGTATCATAAAACACATGTTCTGATAATCTGAGGGGAGCTTTTACAATAAATAAATAAATAAAATAATAATTTTACGTTTATTTCAGTTACTGAATAATCTGCCTTATGATTTGGTCGTGTAAACTCAGATGGAAAACCAAAACATACCCTGGAGACTAAGCGGTTAATGTATTCGTAAACCTGTATTTGTGGGTCTTTTGTAACAGATACTTGGTGTAGAATAACTTCAGTAAGCATTCAGCTCTGTGTCTTCACTGTCCGGCCTGTGAAATCGAGCTGTTGGCGGTTCTCTTATAAAAGGCAGGGCCTGTTGTTGTAAAATGATTAGCCTGAGCCGCCTCGGCCTTCAGCCAGCGTCTCATTCATTAATGTGCACTTCCTGTGAGTCCTGTGTAACTCGGCTGATAGCGCTGACCCTTATTTTCTGACCTGCTTTGTGTTGTATGGTCTTACTGTAAACGGAACCGGACAGGAAGCGTCAGCGCCGGCGTTTGTCACGTGATACGGCTTATCTAGAGCGAGTGTTCTGTGGAAGACTGACTCGAGTAAATAACTGGGTGTTATCAGTGTTGCATCAGAGGCTTCTGTGTGCGCTGCTGTTTGTGTTCACCCCTGTTTCATTATTCATTAGCTTTAACTGGTGCACCAATGGCGGCTAGTAATATCATCATTTAGCCTCTGTTTTGTATGATTTAGCGAGTATATTTACTCGACCTGTACCTGTATTACAGCAGGGATGGGCTCTGTGATGGTATTTGTCATTGTTGTAGTAGCATAGAGTGGATATGGTCTGAACTCAAAGAAGGCTGGGCTGCATTTTTCATCACAGAGAGCAGAATTAGTCCTGTTTAACGGGATTCAGTGCAGTGCAGTGTGTTAATCGTTCAAAATGTCACTGTACGCAAAATTTTTCATAGTATTTTTAAGATCTGGTTCTTTGTTTTCTATTTGAACTTATCAGACCTCCAAAAAAAACAAATACTCTGAGGCTTCAAGTATCGTGATATTATATTTTTGCCATAATCACACACCACTAATGAAGTCGGCCTGACATGTTCTATGTTCTCTACGCTACTTCTTTTTGTACTGTTTTCATGGGTCACAGTTTTTTTGAGCTAGAACCAAAACTTGGAATGTAGAACCTATATGGGAATAGGGTTAGGGTTATGGGGTGCTTGTGCTTTTGGAACCAATACAGTTTTTTTCCCCCATCGGAAATGAATATGGCATTATGTTGAGAAAATAAAATCTGACTGCTTAAATGATTGTCACATTACATATATGTGTTTATATGTTAGGACCCACCTGGGATACCATATCAATAGCCGTGCAACACCTTAGCAACCACCTGGGACAACCTAACAACCACCTAGCAACGCCTTAGCAACCACCTGGGATACCATAGCATCTGCCTGGCAACACCTCAGCAGTAACTTGGAATACCATATCAATAGCCTAGCAACACTTTAGCAACAACCTGGGATACCATATCAATAGGCTAGCAACACCTTAGCAACCATCTGGGATACGATGACATTCGCCTGACAACGCCTTAGCAATAACCTGGAATACCATAACATCCATCTGGCAACAGCTTAGCAACCACCTGGGATACCATAGCATCCACCTGGCAACACATTAGCAATAACCTTGGACAGCACAGCCAATTTAAAGTCTGTTCAGTTTCTATATTTTAACCCCTTAAATGGTCAGACCTCCTTTAGGGTCCCAGCCTTCATCACACTCCTCTGTAGCCTGAGAATAGCTCTCTCTGTGCATTGTGGTCCGTGTAGTTCCTGAGTAATTAGCCTGGGGTTACACTGTGTCCTGTTGCACACATTTGCACTGTAAGTGAGTGTTTTTGGTGACAGTTTAAACAGCTGTAGCTCCAAAATGGTAACTTCACACAAGAGGGCACAGTGTTCTTCACTTTCAGTGGAGGTTCATTCGAAGAGGTTTTGTTGTCCGTTATTGTGATTTTGGTGCGTTTTGTTGGTCCATTCATCATGAAGGAGAGCTTCACTGTGTTCAAGAGATGTAGAAAAATAAAGAAAATAGAGATGCCTGTTTTACTTTGGACAGCGTTGATATGTTTCTGTATGTCTGTCTTTGAGTGTTGAGCTGGGCGACTTTCAGATGGTCATTCTGTGAAGTGCTGAAGTGAAATGCCTCAGTTTAAACGGCTCATTTTACAGTCTGATCTTTAGAGAAACACTTGGCTGAAACTTGGTTTGAATGGGTATCAGTGAGGAAGAAGGCTGAGCGGTGGGGTGCCGTCTCCACTGAGTGTGTGTTGGGAGTCTGTGTCGAAGTGCGGGTGTGTGAGGTGTTTTTGGACGTCGAGGGCGGCTCCTAAAGTCTCCGCTGAAACACACACTCCCATTGTTCTAGACCACAGAGAGCTCTTTCAGCTCCGATACATAAACCCCGCACAGCGCTGTGAGATCATCACAGAGCTTTCTGGAATTCTTCAGACATTCCAGAGGAATTTCCACATCCGTTTACTTCCGAGTGCTGATCTGTCCTCAGGCCGGCTTCACACGGTGAAACTTTCATGCAACTTTAGTTGCCTGAAACTTACATGAAACCGTGATGCACTTGTGTAAATGTAAAGCATTCTGCAACTTACTTAAAACTCAGCTGCAACCGTCTCAACTTCGCAGAGCTAGTTTAATGAAACAGACGATCAGAACGCATCACATGATCACGTTGACCAGCATCATTTCAAACTGTCGATTTCCCCGGATCAATAGACGAGAAAATAAAACAGATGCTGGCTTACTGGAAGGAGCTGCTAGTGAAGTAACTGGATGTGTTGCACCCAACTTTGATTGCTTTTGAGTTGCTTAGTGTGATTGCTAAGTTGCGTAGAAATTGCAACATGCAACTAGTAGCGTCAGAGTTTCACCGTGTGAACGCAGGCTTATTACATATCAACTCAGTATGAGAGGTGTGAACGATTTGTTTCTGAATCTGCAGGAACTGATTCAGCACTTCGGTGCAAATCTCAGATGTCACCATGATTCGATTCTTTATATTTATATAATATAACATGAACATAGATTGCGGGATATTTACACCGTAAAGGAATACAGACAATAGACATGTATTACTGAAAATAATACATATGTTTTTATAATATAGACATAAAAGAAAATACTTTATTGAATGTTCTTATAATGGGTTAAAAGATGATTCTTCAGGAAATGACTCGGTGCATTACAGTTTGATTCATCATTCGATTCAACTCTTTCAGATTGTTTTGTTGCAGTTCTACACTGAATGCTCAAGAACTGTTCATGCGGTGGTGAAATATGGACAGTCATGGTTACAGCAGAACATTTGTTTTTAGACTTTGTGTTTGAAAGTAGCCTGATAAATGTTTTGTAGCTATTAAACGAGCCTGTACTTCATTGAACATCATTCAGATCTATTTTGAACAGTGCAGGACGGGTGCAGATGGATCGGTCAGTTCCTGTGGAGGCAGTTTTAGAGCTCAGCTCAGTGCACTACAGTGCACACTGACTGTGTTGTGCTTGTGTTTTTCCCACATGTCTTTTCATAGATCTTCCATTTGGAGGGATTACAGGGTTGCGCTGAGAGAGAGGCTTTCATTTGGGCCTGGTGAGTATAATGAGAGACGGTGTGCTGGGCAAAGGACGCTGGCTGTGGGCCCAGAGCGGTCATAACCATAAAGGCTAGTTTAGAACACTGTGGTCTTACTCACACTCAGTCAAATACACTGCTGCACCACCGGGTTAGATTTGGAGCTACATACAAGAGTTATTTCTGACGGCACAAGCGTAGGGGGCGATATGACCTCTACTGTTTCAATTATAAAGCCTCTATAATGTTCATATGATCCACACAGTCACTCTGACAGACTGTAATACACTACAGGAAGTGTAGGGGGCGATATGACCTCTACTGTTTCAATTATAAAGCCTCTATAATGTTCATATGATCCACACAGTCACTCTGACAGACTGTAATACACTACAGGAAGTGTAGGGGGCGATATGACCTCTACTGTTTCAGTTATAAAGCCTCTATAATGTTCATATGATCCACACAGTCACTCTGACAGACTGTAATACACTACAGGAAGTGTAGGGGGCGATATGACTTCTACTGTTTCATTTAAAAAGCTCTATAATGTTCATATGATCCACACAGTCATTCTGACAGACTGTAATACACTACAGGAAGTGTAGTGGGCGATATGGCTTCTACTGTTTCATTTAAAAAGCTCTATAATGTTCATATGATCCACACAGTCACTCTGACAGACTGTAATACACTACAGGAAGTGTAGGGGGCGATATGACTTCTACTGTTTCATTTAAAAAGCTCTATAATGTTCATATGATCCACACAGTCATTCTGACAGACTGTAATACACTACAGGAAGTGTAGGGGGCGATATGGCTTCTACTGTTTCATTTAAAAAGCCTCTATAATGTTCATATGATCCACATAGTCACTCTGACAGACTGTAATACACTACAGGAAGTGTAGGGGGCGATATGGCTTCTACTGTTTCATTTAAAAAGCTCTATAATGTTCATATGATCCACACAGTCACTCTGACAGACTGTAATACACTACAGGAAGTGTAGGGGGCGATATGGCTTCTACTGTTTCATTTAAAAAGTGCTCTATAATGTTCATATGATCCACACAGTCACTCTGACAGACTGTAATACACTACAGGAAGTGTAGGGGGCGATATGGCTTCTACTGTTTCATTTAAAAAGCGCTCTATCTTGGTCAAGAATTAGTCTTGACAATTACTTGTAATGGTAACATGACGTTATGGTGTTATTGAACAAAATCTCCCGTGTTTACGCTGCAGGGTTCCAGTAAAGTGCTACTGGACTGGCTTTGTGCTGTTACTGGGTTTGTACTTTAGCACATCCGGGAACAGAAACCAGAAACGTTAACTTTTATATGATAATATTTGAGCTGCAGTAACACAGAAGGGCTGTACTTATTTTGGCAGCCTGCATTAAATCACAGCCACAAATCCCAGCTGGGAGGTTGTTCTCCATGACTTAAATATTTGCAGCCCCAGTGGTCAGAGAAGGTCGGTGACGGGCGGGTGTTAACAGTCGGTATGTGCCCTCTGGCTGGGCTACGGTTTGCTGTGAAGTTCCACACAACAGCGAGAGCTCCAGTAGGACGTGAACCCTGAGTCCACTTCTGAGAAGAGCTTTTACTCCGTCAGATACGTTTACTTAAGAAAAGAAAGAGCTCTATAACGTTCGTATGACTCACGCGGTCATTCTGACAGACTGTAACCTTGGGCAGCAAGTAAATACACAAACAAACTGGATTAAATCAGTTATTTTGGAGGCGTTACGAGAAGAACCAGTTCGCTAGAAAAGATGGTTATTCACGCAACGTTGAGGGCAAAAGAGCAACAAGATGGACCGATACAGTCTGAAGAAGCATAAACAATCCATTAAGGAGCCCAAACAGAGGACGGGACACTGAGGAGAAAGTCGCCTGGAGACAGAACCGCCCTGACGGCGCTTGATAATAATAAAGTACTTGGCCCGGTGCTCCCATATCAGTGCACCCCTATGGACGGCTCTGAATGGGACGTTTCTATTTCTGTTGCCAGTGTAAAGTGGGAGCGAGCCCCCCCTTCCTCATCTAGACCCCACGACGCATCCTGGGAAGCGTTCTGCATGGCTTCATTAGAAGCTTTCAGGCTGAGTCATGTCCGGGTCGCTCCGCGGCCGTGTTTGATTAAGTGATGGCGGGTTCCTGCTGGCTCTGAGCTCCTTTCCGGATTGACTCACACTCTGCTGCGTCTGTGCTGGAGCTCTGAGTGGACGCAGCTGCTGGGCTGCAGTATTTTTAGCTGCTGTGTGAGCTGTGGTGAGGTCTGTAGCGGAGCGTGTCCTGTGTATTTTACATCCCCTGTGTGAGCGGCGGTCAGTTAGCCCAGCCGGCCAGCGCGCTGTGGCGTGTCCTCTCTGGTTTATTTTTTCAACAGCGCAGTTGGAAACAGATGCTCACACCCTTAAAGTGATACTTCGGCTAAACTCTAATCCCCT